TGTTACCAAACAAAAGAGAGATTCCTTTTAAATGTTATAACATTTAACATCGTGTTGGCCATGCCATTAAACTTTTTATTGTGGTAATCGACAAAATGTTTAACTCAATTGAAAATATTTGGCCAGCAGAGGAGCTCATGTGAATTCAGAACTGTCAAGTAAGTTTGTTTAATAATATAAATAACAAAATCTTGAGTTGACCATTCGATAAAAGAAAGTCAAAACCCTAAAAAGCCTTATGATAGAAGTATTACACCTACGAAAAATTATGGTTCCACTGTCTTTAATATAATAATATAAAAATATAGATTATATAGTTTCACAAAAAATTAAAAGCAAGAAAAAAAACAACATTGAATCGGGTGGTACTTTATTAAATGTGCCACTAGACTTGATATTAGTCAGAATTAGAAATAAAAACTGATTTTATAACGGTATAATAAACAATATAATATATAATGTATACAATAATATACAAAATTGTAGACTTGTACCTGAAAATTCTAGGCAAAAGACGGAATAAAAATGCTATATCTATTATAAGGTCTTTTTATGTTTATGTTACAAGCATTTTGTATGGTTAAATGAAAAAAAAAAATACTTAAGTTGCTGTTTTTTATATTCCTCTTCTTCTCTATTTGGCAAACAGAAGAAAATAACACAAACCTGAACCTCAACTCGGTTATATACTTTGTCTGACATTTAATTTTTGGATTTTAATTGGATACTCAGCGGTTGGCATCAAGAGATTTTCATAATAATTTTTCTTTTACTTTTTTTCTTTTTGCTTTTTACAAATTTTGTTCATTGATTTTTCTTTTTTTTTTTCGTTTATTCCATTCTGTTTTCTTCATACTTTTTTAATAGAACGTGAAAAAACAAAAAAAAATTTAATAGAAAAATCTCATAGCTGTTACACAGTTTCCAAAAAAAAAAGTACCATTATTGTATTTTATACAAGCAAATTACATATACAAACATCTATACTAAAAGAAGAGGGTATTCATTACAAGAGGTCATACTATAAATGGTTAACATTAAAAAAAAAAGGGATAAAAAAAGCTTGTAACCATTAAATTTGTTTTGCAAACAAAATATAAAAAAAATCCAAAAATAATTTGACAATTTTTGAAGTTAACTAAGCTATAATAAATGAAAAGTTTAAAATTTTCTAAAGATTTTTTTTTAAAAAGATATTTTTCTATACATTGAACGTGAAATATTAATTAAGTATCGCCTACACTTTAAATATTGTACAATAAAACTAAACATAAAATTGCCATTTTAAGTTTATTCTGAAATTGTAGGAGTAACACAATTGTATTTTAAAAGTTTAAAACACATTTTAAATTTGAAATAGGTACCTAATTATAAATGGATTTTTTATTTATATCAAAATTGTAGGAATATCATTTTTTGTGAGCTCTTCATTAAAAATTGTAAATGAAATGGTTGAGCAAGCTTACGATATCCCAAACCTGGAATTGGTTTTAAAATATACGGTTAATCTAGTTTGAAATTACTTCCACGAATAATGAGTAATTTTACACTTGTATTTCTAATCAAGTCATTAATTTATTTGAGATTTAACTAAAGTAATTTGCGATAACTCGGTAACGTACACGTACATCTTCACCTCAAAATTGCTGTTATATACTTTATTAAACTACAACTAAGCAAAAACAACTCAAGATTAAGTGTGTTTAAAACTTTTGTAGTTCTTTTAATAATATGCTTCATCAATTGAAATAATTTATATTTAGCCCATTAAACACATTATTAAAGAAACGCGTACCTATACACTAGACCGCTAACTTCAAAATTCCCATAGTACAATTCATTAGTTTAGGAGTTGTAATTGCTAAAATTGTGTAACAATATTATATTATTGCGATATTAAATTAATGGTGTGCAATTTTTAATTACGATATCGAAATGATTTCCAAAAATTTATTCACAAATAAAAGCAAAATAATGAAAAATCTTACTGATTAATAATCTTTATCTTATTATAAATTCATTTGACGTTTTCTATTAGTTCAATTGATTGTTGACTAAACACTGTCATAACTGTTCTAGTTTGTGATGTGTTGAAATTTTCTTACCTTCCCATCTTTTTCATTTCTTTTATTTTAATATTGTATAAAACGCGACTTAATATTGATTGCTTCTGGTCTTTTATAATTACATTTTTCCTTTTATTATTATTATTATTGTTTTCTGTTTATTTATTTATTTTTGTGTGTTTATTTTGTATAATAGTATATATGTAAACAATAAACATAATCATAGCACAGTAGTTAGCATTCAATATACGTAGGAACATTCATCTATACCTCATCTATATTGGTATATCATAATAGTTATGAAGACCTTATGTTGTTATTAGCTCTTTAAATATTCTGGAAAATTATAACAATTTTCTTTAGCAAATATTTACTGTTTTACCATATAATAACTTCGCTTTTTTATTTTCTTTCAATTTTTTTTTTTTGTATGTCAAAGAATTTTTAATGAATCCCTTTTGCAATATTGTACTATGCTGCATTTAAAGCCTTCAAGGATAATAATTTCAATTGAGAAATTCCTTACTTAATAAATTTTTTACTGTGATATTATGTACATATACTTTTTTTTTATTTTTCTGTTTGCATATATTCATGTTTGTACGTAATTGTACATACATACATATGTATATATTTGTGTATACTTAATAATATACGTAGAATGCCGCCTTTTCATTTTCTGATTTTTGAATAATTTAATAATTCTGAGGTTTTTTTTACGACCAATATTTTTTTAAAATGGAAGTATTTCAGTAATTTTTAAAAATATAAATGCTGGTAAAAATCGAATATTTGAAATCCAGAATTGGAAAACTGATTTTGTTTGGTTTTTCGATTAGTTTAAGCACTTTTAAACTTTGGTGATTTAAGATAAATATCTACTAGAATATAGAATTCTTACTTGCAATTCCTCAACAATTTGCTAAAAATCATACTTAAGTACATACTTATATGTATGCAGCAATGTAATCTCTTGTTTCTTAATACACCTTACGGAACAAAACTTTTTCAAACTACAAGTTTTTGCCAGAGTCTGAACCTAAAATATATTACAGAAATTTATCATTACTTATGTACAATTAAAAAAACCCCAAAGTTTGAACATTTTATATTTGTGTTGAAGACTCATAACTTACTTGAGAGCTGTAATTTTTTAAATCGACTGCACCTGATTCACAACTTGTGCCAATAATTTTTTTTTATTTTCATTCATATTTTTTTCAATAAATTCTTTAATCAATTCTTCCTTTAAAATTTCTCTAATTTTTCTCGTCCTCCCATTAAAAAAATAAGAATTATTAGATATTTGCAAATTGCCTGTATGCCACATCGTCATTCCCATTCCCGCCCATTTTACATATGTTAATCGTAACTGACATTTGGCAATGTCAGTAATCAATATGTCATATAGAATTTTTGATATAAAAATTCACAATATTTAAAAAAAAAAAAAACTTACAGCGCTACCTGTGGTTACAATACTTTTCAATAATTCGATTTTATAATTTTTAATTGGATAGCAGTTCACAATTCGTTTTTAATATAAATTTATATTGAAAAATAAAAAAAAATTTAAACAAAAGCGTTCTCGCCGCCATGTTCTACCAAATAAAAATGCATTTAAATTACGAATTTTATGCGGAATAACTGCATGTTAAAAAATTTTTTTTTGTAATAATTTCAATATAAATGCGTTAATTTTTTATTACGTATATTATGTTTACACATATTCACATATTAACCAACAAATTTTATATTAACTTTAATACATATTATACATAATGAAGAGAACCGAACAAGGGGATGAAATCTCATGTGATCGAGATTGAAAAAATTTTTTTTCCTTGTATTTCTAGAGATTGTAATATTTTATTTTGTTTGTATTTACTTAATGAAAATGGAATAAAATATTATTATTTATATACATATGTATGTATATATTTTGTTACATACCGAAAAAAAAAATCAATGAAAAAAGGATTTAATAAATAAATTATTAATAAATTCGTCACATATACACAAATAATGCATGTATGTATGTATATATGTATACTTTTTATTACTAATGTAAGTATAGATGTCTAATAAAAAACCTCAAGAAAATTTTTTATTTACAAAATCTTATACAAAGTGTTATTTGCATAAGAAAAAGTAAAATAAATAAGAAAAAAAAAACGAAATAATAATGAATGAAAGTTAATTGTAAAAAAAAAGCAACTCAAAAAGAATTTCAAATTCTTAATTTTTCGTAAAAAATAAATATTTGTTACCTATACATATACCTATCTTTTTTACCTTTTGAAAACGCAAAATTCTTATAACTATACGTATATTTTAATTTTTAATTTGTAAGAAATTCAAAATTTTGATTAAAAAAATTAAATATTTAAATTATTCGATAACCTTTAAATAATGGTCATTTTTATTTCATTATAAAATCGATTCGGATAATAAAAAAGATTCGGATGTGATAAAACAAAAGAGTATCTAGTATCTATTATATAGTATAGGCTATATTATCTAGTACTAGCCTAGTATCTATTATATACATCAAATGTAATATTTAAATTAGGCCATTTTTTATATAAAATCGAGATCATTTATGAACTGTATGATATCCCACATTTGTTATCTGTCGCAATTTAACTAGAAAATATGCACAAAACTTTATTGCCTGTTTTGAATGGAATATCTTATAACTCCTAATTATACCTTATGCTAAGAAAACAATTTAAATTTGCTATTATTTATTCATTTTAAAGGATAAAGTATATAATTATTGCAATTTTTATATCTTGAAAATAAAATTATATTTATTGCAATTGTAGCTTATACTCGAAATTTTCAAAGTTTGACAAAGCGAACAATAGGGGGCTCAATATTCTGCAGGTTGAACATACCGTGACATAACAAAATCATTTTATTTCTGTCAGCGTCAGCCGTAAGCTAATTTTCTTATAATTTAAATTTTTGTGAATTCAATAATTAATAAAGCCGTTATAATTTTCATACTTTGGAGTCTTTTTGCTGTTCAGTTCACTAATCTTTCCATTGGTTGCATGGTAATTTGATTTTATGAATTTATTTAAAATTTTTACAATACCTCAATAGTTTTCGGATGCATTTAAATTATTATCAAGAAAACTGATGAAATATGCTTTACTAATTCTAATTACAAAATATATTTCAGATATCTATGTATGTACATACATACATACATACATATATTCATCTGTAACGCAATAAGCAAAACAATTAATTATGCATAGGTAAGTGCATTTTTTATGTAAAAAAAATTTCTATTATAATTTACCCTAAAATTTTTCATAAATATTTAATTATATAAAAGTAGGATAAGTACTCAAATTTCTCATAGGCATTCCATTTTAAGTATCTAATTATTTTCACATTTCTAAACCACCTATAGATAAGTTATTTTGTAATATACATATTGATAATTTATATTTCAGCATATGTTTAGAAAAAGTATGAAATAGATTTTTTTCTTTCTTTAAGTTTCGAATATAAATTTTGAAATTATTATTAAAATATTTAACCCCCTTTATGATTTTTCTATAAATAATATTCATTCTCTTATTCAAATTGTCAATTTCCCGCTACTTAAGCACATCATTGCAACAAAAAAACAGAACCCAAAACAAAATGTTATTTCCCATTAGAAATCTTATGAATTATCTAGAATTCATAAAATTTACTGGTAAATAAAATTTGGTTTTTTTTAAAGAAATGCAATAAAATTTACATAAAAAAAAATTAGTTGAGAATATTAATGAACCAAGAAAATTGGCTATGACAATAACAAAAAAATAATTTGTTCCTTAGGGAAAGATAAACCCTTCCTTTACGTTATTTTTACATTGTTTTTTTTTTAGGATCTCAGATTCACAGATGATAGAACATTAATTAGAAGAAGAAAGAGAAGAAGAAATTTTAAAATTATTAAAAAAAATTATAAATCGCAATGAATTACAATATTTTTTTTTTTGCAAAAGTCTTCTTGTGTACTTGTAGATTTACAATAATGATGACAATATATTAAAATATTGGCGAAACATCCATAAAAATAATAATATGAATGTAAATATTGTAGTATACTTGTTCAGCTCGTATATACTGGATTACACATATTTAAAATTTTCAATCCGTATCTAAAAATAAAGAAAAGAATTTTACAAAAACAGTAAAGAATTTTATCGAAATTAAAAAAAAAAGGAAAAGTTACCATACGACATATTTTGTATACCTATATAGCTAAGCCACATAATAAGAATCGTAGAGTACTAGAGTGTAATACAGAATCAATGAATATAATTGTACAAAATGATTCAGGATTTCAAGTGCATATCATATGGGAGTACCAAATTTCAGCCTCTTCATTCTGTCGCATTGAATATTATGAAAAGGGCATTTTCGTAATGCTGTTGTATTAATATCGTACCACTAATGTTCTACAATTAAAATTGCAGATCACAATTGAAAATTACAGTGATCTTATACATACAAATTTTATTCTTCAAATCCATTTCATTATTATTATTATTCCATTTGACGTAATAAAATTTAATAAAAACTATTGATTTTTTAAGTTTGGATCATTGATTGAAAATTTTAATGGAAAACTATTAAAAACAATGCTATAACGTGTTAAAAACAATACGATTATGAAAAAATCAAAGATTTTTAAGCTCATTTCCTTTTAATAGTTGTCAAAACGTAAATTAATAACAGAAAGTTCAGGAAAAGTTTAATTTATATTTACGAAAGTAAATAGCAAATTTTTCAGTAATTATTTATAATTATAAATAAAATGTTAAGGAAACTTTTAGTAGCTAAAAAATTCAAATAGAAAATTCCACTCTCAGAGGTAGCTTTAATGAACTAGGACCATTATTTGGTGGTAGTGATATCGAAACTGCATGATAAAAAAAAATGGAATTTGGTATGCAACATTAATTTTCCAAACTCTCAACAAACAACTACTTTTCCTAACAACATATACTCGTACAACAACTGCAGCAATGCCCTGGCAGGGTTATTTATTTCATACAGCATAGCAATTATACCAACTTTAACTTCATTCCAACCAACGAAATACAGTCAATTGAAACGACAATCTCAAATGCATCTGAGTTTTATCCAATTTTTTTTTTAATATTCATCTTATTTTTTTTTTTGATGAGCATAAAATTAATTGTTTTTTCCTTTTTTTTTATTATGATATTGTTTCTTCAATGTTACATGATGTAGTCATCATCATCATGAACAGAAAATATGCAAAACAAAGATAATGGATGAATTTTTCTGGATTTCTGATTTTCAAAATATTAAAAGTAATAAAAATAAATGGAAAAGTCTCTGCAACAAACACGTTATCATACATTTTCATTATAGCTATATGTTTAAATATCTATATAATATTACATTATACTGGCGCATACCTAGTGTAATTGAAAAGTCTATATATATTATAGATTAAAGAGTCGCTGAAATTTACCTATTCATATTAATTTATAAAAAAAAAACAATATATATACGTCCTTCCACATATATAAGAGTTATGCTTATACCATATAATGTGAGTCTGTCTAGAGTAGCAGCAAGAAAAAAAAAAACGAGATAAATTGGAATATGGATGTGACAATTAAGTAATGGGAAATGTTTAATTTTTTGTAAAATAAAATATCAAATTGTGACTTATAAGTATGAAAATGGTAGCGATTTTTAAATTAAAAAGAAATTGTGAGTGAAATTGTCATATATACAATATGCTATACCGTAGAAGAAGACTTCATGGGTAGGGATCTTGTCACAAAAGTATTAAATTGAAAAGCTTAATGAGCATAATATTTTAAATAAGTATAAGATGATTGAAATTTATACATACGTACATATATAGTGTTCAAACGAGAATTTCAAAGTGCTCATATGGTAACGTTTCAAAAGCGATAAAAATAATTTGAAAAAAAAAATAATATTTTTTTAAATAAAAAAAATTACATTCTAAAAGATAAAATTAATTTTAATTTTAGAGAATTCAAATACGAAAAATTTGCAATTTAGGAAATAATGTCGGTATTCCAAATTTCAACGAGATTCCCGAATGATCTATGCAGGAATTACTATGACCAAGAAGGGAAAGGAATGCCGGCTCATCTCTTGCTTATGTTTGGCCTTGGCAAAGAGTAAGCGGATGTTCCATTTGAAAGCAAATGAAAGGGATTTTAACTGATTTATAAAAAAATTATAAAATGAGTGATTTTGCGGGAAGGTTAGTGGTATTACAACGGTCCTGTCTGGCCTATCAACTCGATCTAATTTATTGATTAAATTGAATTTACTCCATTTTTAATTTAAAAACAAAAACAAATCTTATTAAGAATTAGAAATATTACAAACCATTTATTTTTTGCTCAAATAATCTTCATTGGCGACGACTTTATTTTGATTTTGTTTTTTTTGTTTTCACAAATTGACCGAATAGTTAACCTCAACTAATATAAATCTTTAATTTTTTTAATAAAAATCTGTGATCTGCGAAAAAGTGTAATTAATTGTTAAAATCGGTTACAAATCGAAGGGTCAATATTATTGTTCTATTATACAAAATTATTTTATACAATCGTTATGCGTTTTAACATAATATTTCTGTCAATTTTAATCTGTCATTGAAAATCACTCTTATATAAAATTTGGAGAAGAGAATTTAAGTTTTAGATACTTACATTAAAGTTTACTCATAAAATAGCAAAAATAGCATAAAAATATTACGGAAGGGTGACTAAGAATATTATCAAGGAAAAATCATAACGAAAGGAAATGCATTTGCAGGAAAAGTTTTTTTTTTTCTTATTCTTATTTTTTTTTTGTTGTCTCTTCTATATCTTTCTTTTTTTTGTGTCATTTTATTGTCTTGGACGGAAGTCATTTAGGAAGTTGTCAATAAATTTTTACTCATTTTTTTCTTCTTATAATATAACATTTGACTTTTGTGTTCGTTTCTTATATATAATAAAGTCATAAAATAATAAATGGCTTAATGATAATTTTCCTCATAAATTTTATTGTATATATAATATACAATGCTGTACGAAATAAGAATAAATGAGAGATAGTAAGATGGATATTCAATTTTTTGTATATAAGATTTACAATTCGCATGAGAGCCATTAACTTTACTTTACAAGTACAAATTGTGTACATTTTAAATGTATATCCATGTATGTATATGTACATAGGGTGTCCGAGAGAAGATGACATTCCCAAACCAGGATTGCAGATTGAAATCAAGCTAACAAAAAATAACGGGGAACATTCTATTTTTCTTTCTCTTTTTCGAGTCATTGGGCGTCAAACTTTCACTTTTTACCTTAAAATTCGGGAAATGTAAAAGTTGCAGCTCAATCGGAAAATTTTAATTTATTGAACCTCATTTTCACTGCAACCTCATTGCTCGAAAAGAGTTGTTTAGAGTAAAACTTTTCCTCAACACTCGGGTTATATAATAGTTACAGCTCAACTTTGGCGTTTGCTTTTATTGTGCCTCATTTTCATAATTGACATCATATTGCTGGAAAAGATTGGCTTGAAGAGAAAATATCTTATTATTTTTTGTTCGTTTGTGCGTCTTGACATTCTACGTTTTAGGTGTACCACCGAGTCTCAGACAATCGGTAGATTAGTCAATGCATTTGGATTATAAAAACATAATAGATATATATATATTATATAGCGTAGTTGGGAACTCTTCTTAAATGATTATTTTAAGTAAATCACATTTATAGTAAAACAGAAAACCAAATAAAAAGAAATTAAGGGCAAATAATGGTGTAAGATGAAATTTTTATCTTTAAGGAAAGGCAAAATGTTTCTAATTGTGGTCAAAACGGAAATGTTGTTTCTTTTTTTTTATGTTGTGCTTGTTATATTTGTTTTGTGTTTTTCTTCTGACTAAATAATAATAATGATTTATTAAATTTAAAGATTTCATATAAAAAATAATACAAATTTTCATGAAACTTTAATATTATGAGAAATGTTTAAAATTTAATGTGCTATTTTCATGTAATGGACGTGTGAATCATATATTTTTGGCCTTAAAAGTTATTTTTTAAACTCTGCACCTTGTAATGGAGGGTATACTAACTTTGGAATGGGGTTTGTAGCCGCTTGAAGAACCGTATGAACATGCAGGTGTATGAATGTATTCTTGATCAGCGTAAAATTCTGCGTTGATTTAAACACTTCCGTC